TTACCGTAGGCTAACCCTTGAATTCCTAAGTTCGCTTACTTTCATGCCTAACCATGGATTAGGATTTAACTGAGGCCTAATTATTTTTAGGATGTTTGGTATTAATTTCTGATATATTAGATGAGAGTTTGCTAACCTTTTAGGAGTCCCTGGTGGCCCACATGTCTTTGCTAGTACCCAAGAAGACCGTCTTATGGACCTTGAGCTTGGATATTTTTAGGGTAGCATAGCTGGATATAATAATCCCGAGCCTAATAACTCGTTTTCTGAAAATATACATAACCCAGCTATTCGTTACTTTCATAAGATCCTTGCTCACTCCCTATCCAGAAAAAGAAGAAAACATAACCTCCATTAATGTTGCTACCTTTATGTTAGCCAATTTTACTCATCTTGCACAAGTTGACCATGAACCAATCTTAATAGGCGGCATAATAACCATGATTGCAAATGCTATTGGGTTGAGACAACCACTTGTCAACCTTGACCCTCTAGGAAGAATCCGACCCATGAACATTCAATTCTATTTTAACAGTGGCTTCATTAGAAACCTAGGCCCGAATGAGTTTGAACTTCTTATCAAAAATTAAGTTCTGCACCTTTTTACCTTGCCAAATCCTAGGACTAGTGTACATGACAGAAATAGCGGGCTGCTTGATTTGGATGTACCCCAAAATGACCCACCAACTCCTCCTGAGACACCCCAAATTTATGACCACTTGATAACTATGTCTCTGATGCTGAAATTGACCCTAAGGCTCCTCCATTATACCATAATTTTCCATCCCTAGACCATGCCAACCCTCCAGTTGCCTCTCAAATCATTGCACCACCCCAAAATGAAGGTCATCTCCCTGGCACAGCTTCTTGTGCCTTTGCTGCACCATTTGCTCCACCTCATGACCACACTAGTGCTATCAACGCACTCCAAACTGACATTTCTAGCATTAGAGACGAGTTGACATCTTTGCGCGTTGATTTTCACTGGTTTATAGACATAGTGACAGAGCAATTTGATAACATCTATCATCATATATATTTTGTTGCTCCTTATTTTGGCTCTAATGGTGGCTAATGCTTATGGATAATACTGCATTTCTGACTCTCACACTCAAACACTAAGGACATTGTATTGTTTTAAGTGTGGGGGAAGGATTGACTTTGGATTTAGGATTTTCATTGTTTTTCTTATATTTAGGATTTCCATTGTTTCCTTAATTTAGGATTTCTAGTTTTCTACGTTAGAATTAATATTTTCTATACTATTTTGTATTTTTCTACATTTTTATTGATACAGTAACAATTTTTATTGATTCAATTAAATTTAAGCATTTTATTTAATTCATGTATGTCCATTTTATATCAACAATGTTCCACTATTAAATAATGTTGTTATACGTGGGAAATGTTTTAAACATTTCTTAGTTTTCAACCTGTGGCCCTCGCCACACAACTATGGCCCTCGCCACGGTTTCTAACATCTCTGGCCCTCGCCACACCCTTATAACACATAAAAAATTTTATTACCATCATTTTCTCTTCTTCCTTTCCATTATTCCCTTCTTCCCCCAATAACCATCCCAAATTAAAACCCACTCAACCATTCATCCTTCATAACTGTCCCACTCTCCCCATAGAAAGCTTTATTGGTTTTGTTTATTGCTTTCTAGGTAGTTTTAAATTATTATTCATTTTCCTTTGCTCGTTTAGTGTTAGTGTTTATTGGGTCGAATTCTTGTGTTGTCGAATCTTTATGTGTGTTTTTCCGCTATTAATTGATTCCCCAACTTTCTTGAGCAATAACAAATAACAAAAAATTTGTTGGTTTAATGTATAACACGACAGCTTAAGAGTATATAGGTTGCTTTTCACTTAGGCTATGTTAGAATGATTTGAGAAAGATTCAACAAAACTGATACCGTTTTGACACCCTAAACCCTCTAATTATGCATGATCAGTTTGAATACCTATTATGCCGAGACCTCAAGTTTGAGTTTTAAATTAGCCCCTATTAGTTTATATTAGTAGTCAGCACCATTTTAAGCATAAACTACATAAGGAGTCGATGAATATAAGTGAATGATCCCAAAAATTCTAAAATTGCATGCCTTAATATAATAAAAATAGGGAATGCACCTATTAAGTTAGGTGACCCTCACCCAGTCACTTAACCCAACGGTTGTGGAACCTACAAAGAAACATAATAACAATCCGTTGTTAGTTGGTTTAGAGGTGTCTGGTGCTGAACTTGGTAGGACGAACTACGGTCTGATCCCCTGCAACTTACAATTGGGTAAATAAAAGAGGTTATCAAACTTATGTACCAAAACCCCGTGCTTAAGGATCAGAATCACTAACCGACTCCCCTACTATGTGCGTTCATGGATAAAGGACTTAATGTGATTGCACTCGAATGAAAGTGGGTGAAATAAAACAAAAGAAATAGGTTGAGTTATAATAGAATGATTTAGACTGGTTCACATATGGTGGGAGTTTTTGATTGTGATATGTGGTTTCGTGTCATTACGGTATCCTTAGTGTTGACATTGAGTATCTATATTTCTAATAAAATTCCTCGCAACTACGTATAATTTAGGTTTTTTTCGTGCATTTGTGTCGAGCCCGATTATAATTGAATTATCATGCTAGTTATTTGCTTGAGGACAAGCAAAGATTCAAGTGTATGGGAGTTTGATAACACAAAATTACATTGCATATTCGACTCGACTCACATGAATTTTGTTACCATTTTTATTTATTTTTCCTATTATGGTGGTATTTTTTATTGTATTCCAGGTGTATGCTAGCAAAGAGGATAAATGTGAAGAAGAGAAAGAAACAAAGAATAAATGAAGAAAAGAATGAAAAAAGTACAAAGTTGGGCTTGTGGCCCTCACCATACAACCGTGTCCCTCGCCATGCATGTGTGGCCCTCACCACACAACCATGTCCCTCGCCATGCATGTGTGGCCCTCGTCACACTCTGTCAGCTTGTCACGTTGTTTGTTTTGTTGCATGGTTTTATCCATGTAACAAAACAAACCCCCCTGATTTTTCTCCAGCTTACAGAGTCTTTTGAATACTTTAGGCCATGAAGTCACGAGTCATGATTTTTCTCCAAACAAGTTACGATAATTTAGCAAGATTATAAAAGGCAGCTTTATCACAACTTCCAGGAGGGGGTCCAATTTTCCTGAGTTCAGAGCACTTTCATTCTTTGTTTTTAGGCAGTAAATTTCTTGAAATAGCAATAGATCTTCCACATCGGAGGACTATTGCAACTCTAGTATTAGGATATTTTCAGTATTTCATTCAGTATTTTCCGTTTAAGATAATCCTACTGACATTTATGGAGGATCATGGTTTTAATTCAAGTTTGCAGTCAAGCCTATTGTACTAGAAGATTTATTCCAGTTATTCAATTCAATTTACTTCCAGGTTTCCTATTTAGTTTTTATAGTTTCTTTTTCTATTATAAATCATGTTCTGCTTTATGTTTAATTACTGGTACCGTATGTTTACGTTTAAAACCATGACCGACTAATTCCCTTGATACCGGTATGTGCAAGTAGTCTCACGAACGGGGTTTATAAATCTGTTGGTGTAAATATTTCACAAACTATTTTTCTGGTTTAGTTCCTAATTTTAATTGACACAATTTTGTTACGAGAGTATAAGACACGCAAAGATTATAATCAATATAACGGGAGTTTGAGATTCTTAATTGAATAGTAGAAACTAGACATTAATTCTAAACACAGCGAGAGTACTTTAGAGTTAATTAGAATCTATTGATTTCCAAAAATTATTTCTAAATTCAAATGAGACAGCGAGAACAAAGCATTCTGATTTAGGAATTTAGTCTGAGTTAATAAACACGAGAGTGTGAGACAAATACTTTTAAATTCATATTTTCTAATGAAGAGTATTTTAACATTTAAAGATTACGCCAACGATTTATTAAATCCCCGAAGTTTGACGAATTGCATATCGGTATCCCGTTATCGAATTTCTTAATTAAACTTGAATTATTCCCTATTTCTCTCAAAACCCTAGATTAATCACCAGTCTTAGATTTACATAGTAACAATAGATAGCATTAGTTTGATTATAAGTCCATGTGGGTTCAATATCTTTTAAAACTATGTGATTAGATTATGCACTTGCAGTCAGTAATTCCGATAGACTCTTAAAGTCACGATCAATCTTTGACGCATAAGCTTGATTTCTTATCAACACTTGAAGATTATTTTCTAGCTAACATTCAACATTCATCGGAACTGCTGATGTTTCTTTAGAAGTGGATACAATAGTACTATTTGTGGCGTGTCGGCTGAAATTCTAATGATCTTATTTAGAACTAATTAGAATATTAATATCTGCACACTCAAGAAATCATTAGATAACAAAATTGTTACATGAAAAATATATGTATTATTATCATCAAAACTAGAGATTAGATCCAGAAACAAATCTTGTTCTAACAACATATATATATATATATATATATATATATATATATATATATATATATATATATATATATATATATATATATATATATATATATATATATATATATATATATATATATATATATATATATATATATATATATATATATATATATATATATATATATATATATATATATATATATATATATATATTATTATTAGCACAGTCACATAACTGCAACATCAGTTACTTGATCCTTTCCTCTAGCAGCTCCTTAATTATAGCAGTAGTTGTTACAATTTGAAAATATTGTATAGTTATTATATATTTAAAGTAGTCATTATGTGTACTGATTTGTTGCCTTAGTTTTAGCTGATCTGTTATACTATTGTTGGCAACAAATTAATCTCCATTATCCTGTATCTCCTATTTATTCCAATCATCATTCATGTGAATAATACAACTAAAATATACACATTCTGTATATTTTATATGGTATCAGAATAGCCATTGCTTCACAGCTTTTTTTTACTGATCTTATCATGGAAGCACCAAACAACAACTCTAACCTTAAAGAACTTATGGAATTCAACACAAATTCTCACCTTCCAATTAAGTTAAGTGGAACCAATTACCCTGCCTGGTACAAACATTGCAGTGCACTCCTCATTGCTCGTGACCTTGAAGGTTTTGTTACAGGCATAAAGAAGTGTCCTCCTACTACTATTGTTACCGGTGAAACTACATCACCAAATCCTGATCATTCCTTATGGATCAGACAAGATAAACTAATTTATCTTGCTCTTCTTGGCTCCTGTGATTCTGAAGCGCGATCTGTCATGGCAGATTCAGATACGTCTTATGACGCCTGGACCGCTCTTGCTCGTGCCTTCTCAAACCGATCGCAGTTCAGAATTATGTCACTCCGAGAACGTCTCAGTTCAATCACTAAGGGGAATTCCTCTGTCTCAACTTATTTGCATTCAATCCGCAATATTATTGATGAATGGCTGTCATTGGTCATCCTATTGACAACCTTGAAATGGTTATCCATGCCTTGAATGGTCTCGGACCGACCCTCATGGACTTTACTACTGCTATTCACACTCGTGACTCATCAATCACCTTCAACAAACTTTATGAAAAATTGGTGGATTTTGATATGTTTTTGCAGCGAGAAGAACGAATCTCGACATCGGCCCCCATCACTGCCAACATTGCACAACGTTACTACAACGGCTACAATCGAGGACGCCATCACACCGACTGTAACAATCATCACCATAACCATGATTCACAAAGTCGCAACAACTATAATGGTCATGATCAAAATTTCCCAAACACTAAGAAGCCAACATCCAACAATGTTGTCATATGTCAATATTGTGAAAAATCTGGCCACACAGCAAAACAGTGCTACAAGATCAATGGCTACCCAAACAAGCCTCGCCATCCTACTGCGCATGTTGCACAAACAGTGGCCTCTCACTCATCTCCAGCTTCATGGCTCTTTGATTTCGGCGCATCCCACCACATTACCAATGACATGAGAAATTTATCCATCAAAGAAGACTATCATGGATCTGACAATCTCCAAGTTGAAAATGGTAATCAACTTCCCATTACTCATATTGGTTCCACAAATATTTCCATAAATAATTCTTCCTTAAAGTTGTCAGATATTCTCTATGTTCCAAATGTTACTCAAAATTTGATATTTGTCTCTAAACTGTGCCAAACTAACAAAGTTTCTATTGAATTTTCCCTTGGAATTTCGAGGTAAAGGACTTGTATACAAAGGATATCCTTCTGCGAGGATTGAATGAAGATAATGTGTACAGGTTTCAACCAAATGCACCAGCCCCACAAATTTCCTATGCACTCTCCAATTTCTCACTCAAACTATGGTACCATAGACTCGGTCATCCAGCACCTCCTACTCTCCTTCACGCCCTCAAGTCAAACAATATTTCTTATTCTGGTTCCTTTAATAAATGTATATATTGTCTTTCTAATAAGAGTCATAAACTACCATTTTTAAGTTCTTCTATTTCAAGTTCTAGTCCCTTGGAAATTTTGTACTCATACTTATGGGGACCGACTCCAGTAAATTCAATTGATGGTTTTCGTTATTATGTAATCTTTATGGATAATTTTTCCAAGTATGTTTGGCTCTACCCTCTAAATCTCAAATATGATGTTTCAACAATATTTCCAATTTTTAAAAACTTGGTAGAAAGACAATTTAACTCAAGAATTAAAACCCTTTACTCTGACAATGGTGGAGAACTTATAAAAATTCGACCATTCTTACAAGCCAATGGTATCTCCCACTTAACCACCCCACCCCATACCCCTGAACACAATGGTCTCTCTAAACGAAAGCACTGTCACCTTACTGAAACTGCTCACTGCCTCCTAAACCACACCTCCTTACCTTCCAACTTTTGGTCATATGCCTTTCAAACAGCAGCCTGTCTAATTAATCGGCCACCCACTCTTGGTCTTAACATGAGCACACCACACCATGTACTATTTAAATCACCTCCAAACTACAAAAAAACTAAAAACATTTGGGTCTCTATGCTTTCCTTGGCTTAAACCATACACAAATAATAAGTTAGAAACAAGATCTGAACCATGCTTGTTCCTTGGATATAGTCTCACACAAAGTGCATACATTTGCTTCAATTTCAATAACAACAAAATCCACCATTATAGACATGTTCAATTTGTAGAAGACATTTTCCATACTCACCAAAAAAAAAATAAACCATCACATATATCTCACCTTAATCCAGACTATAAACAACCTTCTAAAAATATAGATTATGGTGTTCAACCTTTAACATCTATAATACCAATCTCAAAATCTAGCCCCACTAACCTTACTCAAATCTCTCGCTCAGTCACCCCCACCTCCTCCAGATCACCAACAAATTCCTTAACCCAAAGTGATACCCTTCCTTCCAATCAACCCATAAATTCCCCTCCTCAAACCACAATAGATTCTCCACCTCAATCACCACCTGTACATGTTTCATATTCATCTCAATCACTTGCACCGGGTTCTTCTTCTCAAGCTTCAACTTTGGTAATGCCAAATCACTCCATGATCACTCATGGAAAAGCGGGAATATTCAAACCAAAGAAACTTTTTTCTGTGTCTAAACATCTACTACCACCAGCTGAAGAACCAACATGTGTATCCAAAGCAATGCAGAGCCACGAGCGGAAAAAAGAAATGTCTGGAGAATTTACAGCTCTCATGACTAATGGTACATGGTCTTTAGTTCCTCCACAACCTCATTTTAATGTCATTGGAAACAAATGGGTGTTTCGCCTGAAAAGAAATCCGGGTGGATCCATCGCTCGTTACAAAGCGCGACTTGTTGCAAAAGGTTTTCATCAACGACCAGGTATTAATTATAAAGACACTTTTAGTCCTGTTATCAAGCCGCAAACGATCAAAATGGTATTGTGTATTACACTTTCAAAAGGCTGGAATTTAATCCAAATGGATGTTAAATGCCTTTTGCGTGGTACAATATTTGAAGATGTCTACATGTGTCAACCATATGGCTTTGTTCATCCTACACTATCTGATCATGTATGCAAGCTCCACAAAGCATTATATGGTCTAAAACAAGCTCCTCGAGCCCAGTATAATGAATTAAAAACCTTTGTTGTTGCTTCTGGATTTCTCAATAGCAAATCAGATTCATCTCTCTTCATCTACAATCACGATAATGTCACTGCCTATTGAGAAATGAATCTGATTTGCTATTGTTAGAACAAGATTTGTTTCTGGATCTAATCTCTAGTTTTGATGATAATAATACATATATTTTTCATGTAACAATTTTGTTATCTAATGATTTCTTGAGTGTGCAGATATTAATATTCTAATTAGTTCTAAATAAGATCATTAGGATTTCAGTCGACACGCCACAAATAGTACTATTGTATCCACTTCTAAAGAAACATCAGCAGTTCTGATGAATGTTGAATGTTTGCTAGAAAATAATCTTCAAGTGTTGATCAGAAATCAAGCTTATGCGTCAAAGATTGATCGCGACTTTAAGAGTCTATCGGAATTACTGACTGCAAGTGCATAATCTAATTGCATAGTTTTAAAAGATATTGAACCCACAGGGAATTATAATCAAACTAATTCTATCTATTGTTACTATGTAAATCTAAGACTGGTGATTAATCTTGGGTTTTGATAGAAATAGGGAATAATTCAGGTTTAATTAAGAAATTCGATAACGGGATACCGGTATGCAATTCGTCAAACTTCAGGGATTTAATAAATCGTTGGCGTAATCTTTAAATGTTAAAATACTCTTCATTAGAAAATATGAATTTAAAAGTATTTGTCTCACACTCTCGTGTTTATTAACTCAGACTAAATTCCTAAATCAGAATGCTTTGTTCTCGCTGTCTCATTTGAATTTAGAAATAATTTTTGGAAATCAATAGATTCTAATTAACTCTAAAGTACTCTCATTGTGTTTACAATTAATGTCTAGTTTCTACTATTCAATTAAGAATCTCAAACTCCCGTTATATTGATTATAATCTTTGTGTGTCTTATACTCTCGTAACAAAATTGTGTCAATTAAAATTAGGAACTAAACCAGAAAAATAGTTTGTGAAATATTTACACCAACAGATTTATAAACCCCGTTCGTGAGACTACTTGCACATACCGGTATCAAGGGAATTAGTCGGTCATGGTTTTAAACGTAAACATACGGTACCAGTAATTAAACATAAAGCAGAACATGATTTATAATAGAAAAAGAAACTATAAAAACTAAATAGGAAACCTGGAAGTAAACTGAATTGAATAACTGGAATAAATCTTATATTATAATAGGCTTGACTGCAAACTTGAATTAAAACCATGATCCTCCATAAATGTCAGTAGGATTATCTTAAACGGAAAATATTGAATGAATACTGAAAATATCCTAATACTAGAGTTGCAATAGTCCTCCGATGTGGAAGATCTATTGCTATTTCAAGAAATTTACTGCCTAAAAACTAAGAATGAAAGTGCTCTGAACTCAAGAAAATTGGACCCCCTCCTGGAAGTTGTGATAAAACTGCCTTTTATAATCTTGCTAAATTATCGTAACTCCCTTGGAGAAACATCATGACTCGTGACTTCATGGCCCAAAGTATTCGGAAGACTCTGTAAGCTGGAGAAAAATCAGGGGGGGTTTGTTTTGTTACCTGGTTAAAACCATGCAACAAAACAAACAACGTGACAAGCTGACAGAGTGTGACGAGGGCCACACATGCGTGGCGAGGGCCATGGTTGTGTGGTGAGGGCCACACATGCATGGCGAGGGACACAGTTGTGTGGTGAGGGCCACAAGCCCAACTTTGTACTTTTTTCATTCTTTTCTTCATTTATTCTTTGTTTCTTTCTCTTCTTCACATTTAGCCTCTTTGCTAGCATACATCTGGAATACAATAAAAAATACCACCATAATAGGAAAAATAAATAAATATGGTAACAAAATTCATGTGAGTCGAGTCGAATATGCAATGTAATTTTGTGTTATCAAACTCCCATACACTTGAATCTTTGCTTGTCCTCAAGCAAATAACTAGCATGATAATTAAATTATAACCGGGCTCGACACAAATGCACGACAAAAACCTAAATTATACGTAGTTGCGAGGAATTTTATTAGAAATATAGATACTCAATGTCAACACTAAGGATACCGTAATGACATGAAACCACATATCGCAGTCAAAAACTCCCACCATATGTGAACCAATCCAAATCATTCTATTATAACTCAACCTATTTCTTTTGTTTTATTTAACCCACTTTCATTCGAGCGCAATCAAATTAAGCCCTTTATCCATGAACGCACATAGTAGGGGAGTCGGTTAGTGATTCTGATCCTTAAGCATGGGGTTCTGGTACATAAGTTTGATAACCTCTTTTATTTACCCAATTGCAAGTTGCAGGGGATCAGACCGTAGTCCGTCCTACCAAGTTCAGCACCAGACACCTCTGAACCAACTAACAACG